AGATTGCTTTAAAGGTGATTTTCAATTTATAAATAATGCCTTATATTGTTTATACTACGCGATCATCTTATGGAGCTCCGTGGATCGTCCAATGTACCTTGTGGATAGGTTTCGGGCATGATTTTGATCGTGTTGGTGTATCTAGGGTATTTAATATCGTTGTTTGCACTGTCACAGCTTGTGATATTGCTCAAAGGTGTGTACAACAGCGGGTAATGTTAAGGTTTTATAGACAAAGTAGATTTTTTTTCACAGACATGAGACAGTAAAGGTACAAGTCCAAACTGAACCGCAGACCGCAGGCCGCAGCTGCAGACTGCAGGCGACAGTTTCTATGAATCTCTATGAAATTGATTCCGAGTCGCGTGCGGTCGCAGTCTACAGCCCAATGCGGAATTGTACCTTTAGAAGCATAGAGCAATGCGTCCGGCGCGGCCAGGAGGGGAGCCGGCATTTACAGCGTTGCTCTCTGTCGATTTCCCCCCGTTGTAGCTTCAAAACAAAACTAAGTTGCACTCGGATATTTCACTAGAATGAGTCAAGTCGCGCGACTGTATGTTAGAGATCAAAAATGCCAAAATGGAATGTAATTTGCTGTAAAATATATCTGACACATATACGTAGAATTATTAATATATTATTTCTATTTAACCACTTTTAAACACAAAATTCATATTATTTTGTTAAAATTCAATCGTCGGACTAGTTTGACAAAACAATCGACTCGCCAGTACATTCAGATTAGGGATGTTATGGATATGAAATTTCGGTTACGGATAGGATACGGATATAGGAATGATTATTATACCGGATACGGTTACGGATACGGATAATAAATTATTTCGGATTATCCGTTAGTTTCGGTTACGGATATTATATTTTTAAGGAATTTTAAAAGTAAAATACTAATAGGTAATAAAGTAGTTTTATTTCGTTTTTGGCAGGAATTACAATCAGTCTGTGAGTAATTATTACAGCTATTTAAAATAAAAATAAATATAAATAATTATATTATATTGAGTATTATCTAAATTTTAGATGATTTAGATCAAAAACACCTAAAATGAAAATGTAATAACAAAATTATTACTTATACTGAATCAGTAATTTCGTATTAAAAGAAAATATTGAAATCAGAATTAAATTAAGTTTACTATAACTATAATTTAAGTCGAACATAACAATCATAGCTTCCTTTTTTATAATTTGTGCAAACATAACAATCATATCTTCCTTTTTTATTCTGAACTTAATCATACATTGTCTTACATTAATTTATAATAACATTAAACATTTTCAATAATCAAATTTTATCAAAGGTAAATTATACTTGACAAAAAGTAATTTCGCAGCCTTATCACCAGAAAGTCTATTTCTTAAAGGATCATAAATTAACCCAGCAGCACTGAAAAGCTGTTCACTCGGTACACTGCCAGGCGGCGGAGAGAGGTACTGTCTGACTAAAGCACTTAAACTGTTGTACTTCGTATGCATTTTCCACCATAAAAGTGGATTTTCACTGAGTGTCAACCTTTTCTCTCTATTGTATTCATTTAACAATGCTTTTTTGACAATTAATTGATTGGGTACTGTATCATCCTCATCACCACCTACGTGCTCTTCTTCGTCACTTGCGCTTAATATTTCAGCTAGACAAGATTGAATGTATGAACTTGTTGATGGCAGCTGAGTCCGTGATCTCTTTGGTGAAGAAGGACCTTCATCATGAGAAGTTCTTGAACACCCAACGATTCCTAGAATCTCTGTCTGTACTTGTTCCTTAGTAATTTCATTGAAAAACTTGAGCTTGTAGCGTGGATCTAGATAAGTAGCTATTGTATATATTTTATTATTCTCAATGTCCTGAAATCTGACGCTGATATTATGGACCATATTTGTAATCATTAATTTAAAGTTTTCTGATGTGTCTTGTTTAGTCTTTTCTGTTTCTAATGTGTTTTTAAGAGTATAGACTAAAGGAATCACTGAAGCTATTGTCGCAGTTGCACTACTTAACTCCTGTGTAATTTCTTCGAATGGCTTTAATATTGCAATACACTTTTCCAAGTCGAGCCATTCATCAGCAGTAGGAATCGGTATAGTATGCGCGCCCGAATACAGTATCAAGGAGTCTTTTAATTTCAATATTCTATCCATCATATAATAAGTCGAATTCCATCTGTGAATAAATAAAACATATGTGAAATTAAACAACGTACAGAAGAAAAAAAAAACATTTATATAAAATTATTTTAGTTTAAAATAGAAATATCTTACCTTGTAGAACAATCCTGAACGATACATAACTCTGTTTGGTTCAGTCTTTCTGTTTGAATTTGTTTTAATTCATTTTGAGCAATTAGTGAGTGATGGAAGTGAGTAGCAATTTTTTTGCACTTTGTAATCACTGGCGAGATAAATTCTTCGGTTTCCATTGCTGATCTAACACATAATTGAAGTTGATGAATAGTACAGTTTGCATCAGGGAAATTGGCCGTTCTCATAGCTTTTATCATATTTGATCCTTTGTCGCGTAAAATACAATGAACTGATTCATTGCTTAAGCCCCAATCTTGCAAAATATTGTTTAAATTATTCGCTATAATTTCACCTGTGTGCCGACCCTCTAATTGTTCACACTTGAGTATTATAGAAACTCTTTCATAATTATTCGTGATGCCATGAGCAGTAAGACTAAGTAACGAGACATTTGCGCTGGGCTCGGACCACACATCTGTAGTAAATGATAACTTCTCAAATTGTTTCAATAAGTCCAGAATCTTTAACTTCATTTTGTTGTAGATATCATTGCACAGTAAATTAGTAAAGTACTGCCGACCTCTAAGATTATAACGTGGTAAGGCTGCCTGCACTAATCTTTGAAATCCCACACCTTCTACAAAATTAAATGGCAAGTTTTGTAACGCTATCATTTCAGCCACTAATTTATCAATTTCTTTTTGTTTAGTATTAGTTTCATCCCAGGCACCTTTGTTTTTTAACGAATCTTTGAGTGTCAACTGTTTTTTACACTCTTGTAAAGGTGTCAGCTGCTTGGCTGTTTGTAGGTTATTTTGTTGGTTACCTTTTTCCAGTAGCAAAAGTTCTTCGTACTTATCACTATGTTGTGATTTAAGGTGAAGTTTTAGCGATGTAGTCCCACCTCCTTTCCTTGAAAACCTTTTACCACACTGTTTACATTTTGCGAAATCGGTCATTTCATCAAAAAACGACCAAACTGCACTCGACTTAGGACGCATTTTGTACAAATTCAATCGATTCCGTAACACAACCAACACTTTGCCAAAGAAGAAAAAAAACAAACAATACGCGCAGCTTGTGTGTCGGCACTGGCAGCGGCCGGCCGATCAAAACAACTTGTCATAACGTGTCTCAATTAGGCTCCGCCCCTATCCGATACTATCCGAAACTTTCATTTCGGATTCGGTTACGGTTACGGATGATTTTTTATATCGGATATCCGATAGTTTCGGTTACGGTTACGGAGCTCCCTAACATCCCTGATTCAGATCTGTCAATAAAAAATCTTAAGGAGCGGTCATTTTACTACAATTTTGTTTTTGCGAAAGTATGTTGGACTGCATTTGTGTGCATATTCCTCCCCCCGCAAAAAGTGACAGAATGATTTCAGTAGTATTATGTCATTAGGGCTACTCCTCTCCTAGCCGCGTCGACTGTGTAGCTCTACGGTTAGAAGTCGTTATCCAAAACTGTCAAATTTCTCGAAAGCACCTCACCTTTTAACATTATGTTAAAAACAATCTGAATCAATCAATTGAGAGATAGGTAACTTAATGTGTGGTTATTTGTACCTATATCTTTTCTACGCCTCGGTTTCCTCAATGCTGAGGGCAGGGCCCGATCCAAGGCGGGGCAAGCCGGGCATTTGGCCACAGCGACAAGAATTAGGGGCGGCAAAATTGACTTAGGATCAGCCGTCACTAAAGGGCGGCAAAAATCATTGCCGGAGCTTGCCTGACAGCGGCAAGTGCAGATTTTTAGATTTTTTTAGATTGGGCCCTGGCTGAGGATCGTGACCACCTCCTCGCAGCGAGATCTTGTTGCGGATCATTTGACGCTTTAGCTTGATGCCATCTTTCTCGATCTGCCTGAGCCGCCGTGTGTAAAGAGAGAATTGTGGACTGTGATATCGGTGCTTATCTGATCAATCTAAAGTGTCGGGCTTCTTCCTCGTGGTCTTTCCCCTCTATTTTGCATTGACCATTAACCTCACCATGTTGCCGTTGTTCTATCTGGCAATGTGGCCAAAGCATTCTAGGATCCTACGTAGGTAGATAGTCGAAAACCCTGTCTGTAGTTTTATCTCTATAATCGACATTATCGACACTTTGATGATCTGCTGTCCAAGGCGTCGCAGCATTTTTCGCCAGCTCAACATCTCGAAAGCATCGACACGGTCACGGTCAGCTTTCTCTAGGGTCCATTTCTCAACTCAACGCCATACAAGAATATAGAGAGCCAGAGTTCGTACAAGATTGCTTTTGGTTTTCAGGGATGTTTTTATTCTTCCATATCTTGTGGAGTTGGGCCATGGCATTCTTTACCATCCCGATTCTCATTCGCACTTAATTTTCGCATGAGCTATTACAACTGATGCTTGATCTCAAGTATCTCTAGTTATGCGCAACCTCCCAAGTCCAGTTTCCCAGTGAGCCTGTGCGACACGTAAATATTCTCTCAAAGAATAATAGAAACAAAATGCAAGAATAATTTTATGATTGTTTATGACCTTCTTTGTTTGTTCACTACTCCAATATGATATTATGAGAAAAACTCTTCTTGTGCGACTGACTCCAACTAGCACTTGGCTAATTTTGTTATTTAATTTTCAGTAATATTATTATATTTTTATGTACATCGCATAAAGCTGGTATTGTAGCCCCGTCCACAGCTACAGCGGATCAGAGGTCGGTGTCACGACGGCACGGTGGTGGTAGGAAGCAGGCATACTCTGCCAGTCGCGAAGGTGTAATACGCGCGCGTGCCCATGCGCAATATCAATTGCCGATCGATTTAAGAATTACGAACGTTCGCCTCTTATGGAATACGTGCTCAGTGGAATAAATTGTGAGTTCTCTCTAATAGAAAAGTATTAAGCAGTTAAAAAAAAATCATAGTGATTCCATCATTCTCAAAATCAGTAAGTGACTCTTTTAAATGTTTCCAAATCATCTGGTAATGGAAATATGTAGTAATACTACTTAGAGAGTTTGCAATAAAATAAAATTTCTCAACGCGACGAATCGCCTATGGTTTCCTAATGATCGGAATAAAAACTTGAAACCTAAAGTTAGGTAAGCTAGCGATTTTCTAACGTATACCTACCGGGTTGCGCAGTTAGGACATAGCTGATTTATTGGTAACCAATTTATTTAAAATACTAATTGATGTAATAGTTTTAGCAGTTTTAATTGAGTTCAAAGTAGAGATTTAAATGTCTAATAAAATTTATTGTATAAGAAATATGCAGTATTCTTCCACAGATCTCATTTCTGCATGAAATAAAATGTACGCACCGGTTTTTTCAAATCACAGTCTCACATCGCAAGCTTAGTTCTTTATACTAAAAAAAGCTTTAACATTTTCAGTCCTCGAGTGGGTTGGTATTTATTTGCGATTTTTTTGATGCCAATATAACAAACGTTGCGTAAATTTTATTTAAAAAAGAAACATTGATTTATTTCAATACTATATAGTTAATATCTAGTAATCAAATGGTTTATTAACACCGATTTTTAAGGGGTTTCAATCAATCAAATCAATTAGAAAACCGTTAAATAATGTTTTCTTCACTTACCTCAAAAGGTAATTTTGAAAGGTTTATAATTTCGAAGAAATGTAGGTATTTTTTCCCGATTCCAAATCATCATGATACTTTCATGATGCCCCTGGGCAATAAATATCTTGCAATGTAAAAAAAAACTTTATATTATAGCATAAAACTGATTTTTTGCAGTATTTATTTATAAAGGTGTCGACGGAAATGATTTCCGTGGGATATTAGAATTCATTTCCATTCAAGTCCGAAGTAAGTAATATCTTAGAGTGCTGAGATGTCGATTCTTATATCTGACACAAGCATTCTTTGTAGATACGATCGCTGACACAAGAAAGTTCTCAGAACAGCGTATTTTTATTTATCAAAGTGTTAAGCTCTCGGAAACTGATGCTCTTTTGCATTTATTTACTTTTTATAACAAATGTAGATTAATAGTCCTTAAGTAAAATGTAGAGTTCGTTGGAATAATCATGGCGATTACCGACACCATAGTATCCTAAATACATTCAAAGTAATTAATTTATTTCAAAACAACAGGTTCCAGCCTATCAGCTTTAATTTAATTATCTTCATTTGTTTTTAATTTCTCTAGATGTGAATCCCTTTACGTAATAATTCGACTTGAACAGTATTTACTAAACAATATCAAAATTAAAACTGTTCTTGATTTGGCGTCTGAAAATGCTTCTATATTTTTTATAGATGTTCTACTTCACAAATCATTCTTGTAAACTAACGCATGTACCAACAATATAAATTAACATTGCTTGTAGATTTTTTTAATTTTTACTTAAGTTGATGGTTTTGTGTAGTTTCTTACATAATCATTCTAACAATTCAGGGTATTGTAGTGTCGATTCAGGTTGGCAAGGCGTGGTGAGAACTTTAAGAGGTCACACTTAACATTGGTAATGCGCTTTTGTTATACATAATAAAACGGCTAACAGACCCTGGACACTGGACTGGATAGATACTGGACACTTTTTTCGTCCAAGGACAAAATTTCATGCGAATACAAAGCTGTTTTTAATAAATTATATATATTATTATGAAACCCTTAATTTTTTTTTCGTAAATAGCATCCTAGGATTCGAGAAAGACATTAATTAGTAATTGTAATCAAATATTTCTAAGAATTTAGCAAACACAAGGAATAATTCTCGGAACGGATATGGCTTAGAACTGAATTTTTAGTTACAATTTGTAGCTCAAATATTAGCTTTGTTAAAATATACTATGTTCTACGAAATTTATGGATGTGTTTTTTTGTTTCTACTTTGTAGCTCAAATATTAGCTTCGTTAAAATATTTATTTTTTCCATTGAATTCATGGATGTTTACCCTTAGAAACTTCATTGTTTCTCACTTCTTGTTGTTATCGACTTGAAAAATCCTTCCACCTATTTACTCAGTGGTTTGGTTTATATGAATTATTTATGCTTTGAACCCTAAAGTTTTGATGATTGATATAAAAAAAGGAATATTTAGAGAATATATTTTTATCCAACTGCGGAGGGTTATATTTTTCGAGTGGATATCAAAGTGAACGGCTTTAAATATCTAACTTATAAAATAATAACAGTCGCGATCCATTAGATATTCTTGGATCATAGCCTCATATTTTCCTAATGTTATAGGTCACGACTGTAATAACTTTGTTCTTCACTCAACACAATTCTAGACTACTGGACTTTTTTTTTCTTTTTAGTTTTTATTTTTACTTATTTTTTAAGCCCGGCTGCTTTTTAGGGTTCCGTAGCCCAATGGCAAACAACGGAAAACTTATCGATTCGTCATGTCTGTCTGTCTGTCCGTCCGTATGTCACAGCCACTTTTTTTCCGAAACTATAAGAACTATACTGTTAAGTAGGTAACTTGGTAAGTAGATGTATTCTTTGAACCGCATTAAGATTTTCACACAAAAATAGAAAAAACTTCCCCATACTTAGATCTGAAATTAAAGAAAAAAAAATCTTCATACCCATACGTGTGGTTTATCTTTGCATAGGTATTAAAAAATGTCATGGAGGTTTCTAATATATTTTTTTCTAAACTGAATAGTTTACGCGAGACACACATCCAAAGTGGTAAAATGTGTGCCCCAAGTAACTTCTAAAATAAGAGAATGAAAAAACTAAAAAAAATATATGATGTTCATTACCATGCAAAGTTCCACCATTGAACGAAATCTAGTAAGTAGTTTTTTTTAATAGTTAATTAATAAAAAAAAAAACCTCGATCAAAGTTACAACGAACTACAAGTACTTATATATTATGTAAGTAACATAGTCCGACTCGCACTTGGCCGCTTTTATGACTTTTGTGTACGTCCTTTGAGAATAAAAATTCAAACAAGGATAGAACAGGATGGATGAAAAGTTTGTATCAGATAATCCTGTGCTGGCGAAGTACAAACTCGCAAAGTAACTAAAGATTAATCTTAATTAAAACATATTGATCGGAAGAAGTTTGGAAAGGGTCTGAAGTGTCACGTATTATGTGAAAAAAAAAAGAAATTCTTGCTACTTTCCTATTCATCTTAAATAGTTAACTTCCTTCTTTAAGTAAGTCGGTTCCCAGGTGACCATAGAGCAATAGATTTTTCTAGGAGAGGAAAAGTGGATCTCATATGTTAAGATATAAGAGCATACATAATAGTTGAACATATTTAAATCAAACTAATTTCAATATTATGTCTGCTACTGTGCTGTCTTACTTTGTGTCAGTCTGTTACTGTACTTCTCTAGATTAGGTTCCGAAAAAAAATTAAGCTAACTTTCACTTTCGTACAAGGTGAGGTAGGTACCTACTTGTTCTAAGAGAAATTGATGCATAACTTCGGTCAATTCTTTGATGCCTAATATAGAAACGTTTGTATTTAAATAATAACTTTTGGATCGAGATTTCAAGACCACGCTGGAAGTCGAAAATGCATTTACATTTACTGGTTAACTTTCGTTTTATAAGTAGATAAGTACATAGATATATTTTTAAACTGATATTTAGCAATGATTACAAAATTGGGTTGTACGTTTTTAATTACACGATATTTTAAATGGATTGTTCTAGTTCTTTCAATTAGTAACATAATTATTATAAAGTCGTTGTAGTTTAGTATTTTTATTAAGCTTTTATAATAAAAAAGAGATGTACTATAATGTGTCATGATAGCATAAAATAAATGTTTTTTTTACTGATTGAAAACACAAGTGGCCGCCCGTGACTATCCGAGTTCAGTTTAGTTTTTTGAGAATCACCAGGACTTCACAATCTTAACAGACAAAATTTCAGGGTTCTGGTCCTGGATTAAGATCCAGGTTATAAATGTACCAAATTTCATCCAAATCCGTTCAAAAGTTTTTGCGTGATTAAGTAACAAACATACAACTTTTAGTGGGATTTACATAAATTGTAAATATCATTTAGACATTTAACTTTATTAAAAGCAAGTGTAGCTTGAGGAGCTCGATGGCGTAATGGTAAGTGTTCTGCGGCCCCAACACGTTTTTTGACAGATCGGTAATAGTATCGTCATTATAGTCATCGTCGCTTTTCTTTTGGCAATCTTGAATATGGTTTCTTGTCGCATTTTTGAGCATTCCACCCGCTCTACCCTAGCTGTCACTAGATATATGGTCTTAGAAACACAATGACAAAATCATTGTAACTGCATGTAAATTAAGAAATGTAAGGAATGAGGGGATAAACTTCTGGGCGGAAATTTTGCCTTTGCGGAACAGCAAAATATTTTCAAGTTTGGAGCGCTCGCGACTCAAAAGTCGATAGTATTACTGTTGAACTTTAATTTTATGTATCACCGTGTCATAATTTACCCGTCATCCAATATTTATGTAATAGGTACTTTTTGGGCTCTCTTTTATTTCTCAATAAATGTCCATGAAATAAAACATTTTTGATTATGTGATGAGTCATCACTGATGACCATAAGCGCCAATCTTAAGTTTATTCACGGGGGCTACTCTATACACTTGTAACCCAAAGTCCTGGTTGATTTAAAGATTTATGCGGAGGCGGGGTGAAACATTTATTTTTTATAGTAAGGACGGAGGATACATTATACATTACTGTTAAAAGAACGTTTTTGTTGTTACACAAGACAAAAAAATATTAAAGATGGAGTCTTAACCTGATTTTTCAAAAAAAAAATCATTTCCGTTCTATTGGGTCTGCAAATCAGTCAAACATTGATTGTGAATCTAGGAGATAATAATGCTTCTTTGTAGTACTGTCTTTGAATCATAGGAGATCTTGGATTAAATTAAAAAGAGATCCATTAATCAATCAACAAAAATAAAACATTATGTTGGATTGTTATGCAAAGTGTGGAATGCAAAAATTCA